AAAAAACTGCGAAGTGTCATTTTCTAAATGTATTTGCGGCAGATGAAAGGAACCGTCTCCATGGAATTGTCCCTCCTATTAAAATCCCAACTAATGAACTGTTTTAAAAGGCACTTGCTAACCAAAGGATCACCTTCAGTCTGAAAAGTCAGAGCTATCCATGGAGTGAGCATACCACCTCCTGCGCATTTCTTTCTGAGCCACCCCAGTAGTTGCTACTGGAGAACAGAACAGTTTAAGGAACAGGCTAGATAAGCAAGTTTGCATAAGCCCCCGGTTTTTCTGAAAGTCACACCCACATCTTACCATTAAAGCACTAATAAGCCACTTTAACAGTAATGGCTTCCAGGGAACTGTCATTTTCAAAGGTGCTGACAGTGAGGAGACCCCGAATCCCATCACAGAGCTGCAATTCCCAGAGTGGTTTAAAAATCAATGCCTCTTCCCAGGGAACTCTGGATACTGTAACTGAAGCATGGCCAAATTTGGCCCTCCAGCTGTTTTGGGACTACAATTCCCATCATCCCTGACCACTGGTCCTGTTAGCTAGGGTTGATGGGAGTTGTAGCCTCAAAACAGCTGGACGGCCAAGTTTGGCCATGCCTGCTGTAGCTCCAGGAGTGGAGCAGGAGTCTCCTAACAACTCTCCTTACATACTACATTTACCAGGATTCTTTGGGGGAAACCATGACTGTTCACATAGTATAGTGCTTTAAATATAAGGCGTAGATATGATTCAAGCGTTCGGAACATCACAACTGGACTTCTATAAGGCACTCTATGTGGGGCTTTGTTTAGGACTTGTTTGGACACTTGCAGCTGGTGCAGAAAGCTGCGCCATACTAAGCGTAGAATCTGGAGATGAACAAGTTGCACTTATGGTGAAGCAAGTGCACTTGCTACGGATGAGCTACTGGGCTGTGTTCAAGGTCGCGTTGCTATTATTTAAAACCGTAAACTCAGAAATAGGTCGCCTGAAGGCCCACCTACTCCTGGAAAGAGAGATTTTATGAAGAAATTTTACTTGTGGCACCACGGAACATCATAGGGTGGTAACACAAAAACAAGGATTTTGGACCATTGCCCTGCACTGTAACGATCTTCCCTCTACCATAAATGAAACATCATCCAGCAGTTGCCTCACTTGATTGGTAGGTTATTTTGCCTAGTCTTTTGCTGACTCGTAAGACTAGACTATTTTATAACTTGATTTCTGTTTTCTAATCTTTTTCTGTTCAAACGCTTGTATTTTTGTATACCACTTAAAGAGATATTAAATATTAAGAGGCTTGTAAATGCCTTTAAATAAATAATACTGCCTCTGATACTGGAGCTAGAGAAAACACCATTATGACGGGTAGCCACTGTTAAAGCCTTATCCTCCATGAATTTGTCAAAGTTCACTAACCAAGATGTACACAGAAGCAAGTACATTGGGAGGCCAAGTGGCTAATTAATAATAATGCTTCGCTACCCAGCTCACATTTCATTGGGAAAGCAACAGGAAAAAGTATATATAAGCCACAGGAAAGAACATGGCATTCCCCTCAACCTCTCAGCGGCTTCTGATACCATCAACCATGGTACCCTTCTGAAGCAGCCGTCAGTTAGGGGTTGGTAGAACCACTTTGCGGTAGTTCTGGTCCTACTTGGATGGATGTTTCCAGACGGGATTGCTTTGGGAGTGTTCTCCAGCGTCGTGAAGCTGTCAATGTGGGGTTTCTTGGGGTTCAATTTTACCCCATATTGCTTTTAAACATCTACATGAAAACACTGAGTAGGGTTATCTGGAGTTTTGGAGTATGCTCTTTGTCTTACCTCAGTAATGGACTGGATGAGAGCCAAGAAACTGAAGCTCAATCCAGATGAGACAAAGATCCCCCCAAGCCTCAATATAGTTTATTTTTAGCCACCCCATTTGCTCCAATAAAAAAAGTAACTTCAAAATATATTAACATAAGATCATCACCTTTTTAAAGCTAGGCTTTCTATACCCTTTACGTGTGATTTGGGCAGGGGCAAAGGAGGGGAAACAGGCAACAAGCACAAACCAAACAGGCCTACTTAAAATAAGTTGCCTTCTTTGCTCAAGTGTGTCAGAAGCAACTTTCAAGAATGATATACAAAGCAACAATGCTGAGTACACAGACAGATATTGTGTCACATGAAAACAAGAGTGAAAAAGCCACACTCGAATCACTAAGCGGGTACAAGGGGCAAGAGTAGATAATGCAAATAATTGAATGCTCATGAATATACAAGGAAAGGTATGGAGGAAGGAAAAGTATTGATCTGTTCTTGGTGCCAATGTGATTTCAGATGTACAGTATGGATGCACCCTAGGTCAAACCATGGAGGCATTCCCTACATAAGGTGAGGGGAAGACCATTTGTTATGGGAATTGATACAAGCATATACTACATGGATCCTCTTTAGAGATTACAGGGGGGAAGGCATTTTTTTTTGTTCATTTTCTTGCATGAAAAATTTAGCACTCTTACGATAGGGAAGCCAATCTAGGACCTATGTGTGCCTTCTCCTCCTCCTTCGTCTGGATAGAAAGCCAAATATAATGCAATACAGTACCACGTTGAATCTCTAACAGGATATCCAATCTCTATTGAAGAAAGAGACTATTAAAAATGGAGGGTTCTGGGAGATGAAGCTCAATATAAAAAAAACTAAGATCATGGCCACTGGTCCATCACCTCCTGGCAAATAGAAGGGGAAGAAATGGAGGCAGTGAGAGATTTTACTTTCTTGGGCTCCATGATCACTGCAGATGGTGACAGCAGGCACGAAATTAAAAGACGCCTGCTTCTTGGGAGAAAGGCGATGGCAAACCTAGACAGCATCTTAAAAAGCAGAGACATTACATTGTCAACAAAGATGCGTATAGTTAAAGCTATGGTTTTCCCAGTAGTGATGTATGGAAGTGAGAGCTGGACCATAAAAAAGGCTGATCGCCAAAGAATTGATGCTTTTGAATTATGGTGCTGGAGGAGACTCTTGAGAGTCCCATGGACTGCAAGAAGATCACACTGATCCATTCTGAAGGAAATCAGCTCACTGGAAGGACAGATCGTGAAGCTGAGGCTCCAATACTTTGGCCAAGTCATGAGAAGAGAAGACTCCTTGAAAAGACCCTGATGTTGGGAAAGATTGAGGGCACAAGGAGAAGGGAACGACGGAGGACGAGATGGTTGGACAGTGTTCTCGAAGCTACAAACATGAGTTTGACCAAACTGCGGGAGGCAGTGGAAGACAGGAGTGCCTGGCGTGCTCTGGTCCATGGGGTCACGAAGAGTCGGACACGACTAAACGACTAATCAACAACAATTGTGCCAGTTCACATATTATCCAAAGGCTTACCCTCTCTCAGAGTACAAAACGGTTCATGCTGGGGTATGTTGACAACCTAGCATGAAGAGAATGCACTCAAGTCTAACTTCTATTTGTTTTTAATGTCTAAGACAATTTACTGGCATTATGCTCAAAATGTGGATATTCTGTGAATGACACATTTATGTCTTAGATAAGACACATATTTATCCCGTCTGTTCCAGCTTGCTGCCAGTTACCTGGCAAGTGATTTCTGCAACTGAAAGCTTTCCAGAAAAAAAGAGACTGCTGGCAACCCACAAATACCCAAACATTGTCCAGAAAGCTGGTAATCCAATGCACACAGAGTACTGGGATGGGTAGGCTCCTGCGTTATTAAGGAACCATAGCTATGTGTTCCTATGACCATGGTATTACCACTGCAGGATTTATTGTTTGGCCATAATTAATTATCCCCATTATCTCCTCAGCCATCAGCTTTGTGGCATGCATTTTGCTTGCCTCCATATCGGTCTTGTATGTACAATGAGAAAGATGAAAAAGGTAAAAGAGTTTTTATTTACTTTCTGAGATCACAGAGCAAATCATGCAGTCACAATACAGCAGTTAGCAAAACTATAAAAGGGAAAGGGCTTTTAAGCTGTCAGTGGCAGATGTCCCCAACAGATATAAAAATTAACAGCTTGGAAAGTGGCAGTCTGCAACTTCAGGGGGAAACACCCCCCCCCCCAATTACTCACAACTCCACCACATACATAGACAGTGCTGGACTCTCAACAACACACTACTTTTACAATAGATCCAGTGCACAAGTTGTGTAACCAGGAAGTTGATAAGCCCAAGATGAATATAAAAACATAAGACCCTTTCTTCTCTTCAATTCTGCCAAGCAACTGTACATCCAGTTTGATAGTACTTTTTGCTTTTGTTGCACAGAAAAGACTATGAAGGCTGTGATGTTCCTTGTTACAAGGAACCACTCTGAAATTAGGAAGGTGCATTTGAAAGGAAGAAAACACTGTATTTTGTATTTAAGGTGATGCCCCCCCCCGATACTCTGGACTCCTAACTTCCAACATTTCCAGCCAGCATGCAAGCTGGAAATGAACGAAGAAAACCTCTAACATTCCGAAAGACAAACTTGTTTTAGAATGTTACAGCTAAATTTCTGTAATGGGGCTGCTGCTGCATTAATTCGTTTTTTTAAAAGTTGCATGTTATGTAATTGCAATCTTCATACAAGGCTCCCTTGTATCTTCTTGTGCCCCCTGCATGACAGGTCTGGAGGATGGCAACACTCTCCCCCCAGGGAGGTTCAGCTGGTGCCTTCATTACGTATCTTTAGGTACCAGGGAAAAACACTCCTCTTCTCCTGGACCTTTTGACTAATTAACCTACCCATGGCCTTTTAAGCTCTCTGTGTGTGGTGTGGTGTGGTGTGGTGTGGTGTGGTGTGGTGTGTTGCTGTTTTGTTTGTCATTATGTTATGGAACCTTGTGTTTTTATATTGTAAACTTCCCAGTGATACCTGGTTGGAGGACGGCATATCAAACAAGCAAGCAATGCTATAGGCCACTTTGCAAATAGGAATATTTTAAAGAAGTAAAAAGCCAAAAAAAAAAGCCAGGGAAACCTTCAACTGCAACACAGCCTCATACCTGGAACGTGTGCGCCGCCTACTCATTCCTGGACTGTTGCTGACACGATATGCAGTTGGGACGCTCCTCTCCTCCCTGCGCCTTTCAGGTGTGTGAGCTCTTCTCCTGGGTGATCTTGAGCGAGACCTGAACAGGAGGCAGAAGAGGGAAATGTTCAAAATCCCAAGTGGGAAGGGATGGGCCTTAATTTCATTACCTGATTTCAGTAGGCGTGCATTATCTTCAAACCTCATTACAAGATGTACATCCTGTTACACCACAAATATATATATACATATATTTAAAGAACCAGCAGATAGGTGGCTCAGTTGGTTAGAGCGTGGTGCTGATGATGCCAAGGTCATCATGGGTTCGGATAACCCGTATGGGCCACCTGATTATTCCTGCATTGCAGGGGGTTGGTCTGGATGATCTTCTGGGTCTCCTACAACTCTACAATTCTATGACAACATATTGTTCACTGGAGATACTGTCAGCTTCCTGAGGGTCCTTCTTCCACACACCCACACACGTTTTGAGTTCTCAATTATTTGATTCCAAAGCCATATGCATTTTAAGATTTATAAGTAGTGATTTGATATGTTAAGTAGGTGAGCAAACTGAATCAGACCACTGGTCTATCTAGCTCAAGACTGCCTACCCAGACTGGCAGCAGCACCCCAGAATTTCAGACACGGTTCTTTTGCAGTCCTAACCTAGAGGTGCTAAGAATTGGGGGGGGGGAGGAAGAGAGCTGCTATGTACTGCACTGCAGAGTGACTGCAGTTTCCCTTGAAAATCTGATCATATCCCCGATCTTTCACAGAAGGACAGTGATAGCGGTAATAGTAAAGAGGGATAAAAACCAAGACTGAAGACGCTAGAGATCAGTCAGAACCTTGATGCTTTAGCAGGATTTTCTTCTAAAGGATCAGCAGTCATCTCTTTGCACTAATGAAGCTGCCTGAGAGCTCTTGCACTCAGATGCTGCTCCCACTGATGGGCTGCTCAGCCATGGCTCCATGCTCTATATCCCTGCGGATTCTGGGATTAGATATGGATGCACACACTTCACCTTCATAATAATAGTAATAAATAGGCTGGTATGGGAAGTTAAGAAGGGTCACTAAAAGGGCTTAGATCCCTCAACTGCAGCTGAATTTTTAAGGGAAGCGTGATTACAACTGTTTCAGCCTACAAGGGCTCAGACAAATAGGGAAGCTATTTGCTTAAACTACTTTGTAAGTAGCTGTGCCATGCTCTTTAATTTCAAGTGGTTCTGCTTTTTTCTGGGGGTACGCAGGGGTACACATACCCCTAAACATTTTGTGAATCTTTGTACTTTTGTCCATTTACTGTATTTATTTTCCCCGATTTGAACTATAAAATGGTGATTTTCTTGAGTCAAAATGAGAGTACTGTACCCCTAAACATTTTTATAGAAAAAACCCCTCTATCTATCTATCTATCTATCTATCTATCTATCTATCTATCTATCAACAATCACAGCTTTGACTATGGTACTTTCCCGCCCCGCCCCACAGTATTAAATAGAGAAGAGCTGCTTTTACTAGCTTGAATAAAAGCCTTATTTTAACATGATAAATCGTAAGGATGTTATTTGATAAGGTGTGAAATATTAATAAGGCCTTCCCTTTCAATTGTGTTGCTAAACAAGGTCTGTTTAAAGTTCTATTATGTTGGAAAGATTTGGCATATAATCCTACATCTTAAGGAGCAGCACTGGTGCGAAAAGATGTTGCCTCCAAGGGAAATGAATGGATTTTGAAGCAACGCAGCACACAAATTTGCACCATTTTAACAAAGGGAAACCATTTTGCGCCCTAGCCTAGTTGATTCTTTGAAACTGAGACAATAAGCATGTTAACTTTACCTCTGCCAATCAGCTAATCTTAAAAGTAATCCTTTAATCATGCCTCTCTCTGCTAATTACTATACAGGGTTTGTTAGCTGGGTAAACAGAGTAGGTGGCTTAGCAAAGTAATCTATTAGTGAAACACACAAAGAAAATTAATGTGAAATGAAATTCTTGGCTCAACTGAAATGCAAACTTGGGAGTCTGACAATCCTCCACACCCATTTATCAGGAGCAGCCCGAGATAGATAGGCCCCCAGAGCAAGTGTCGTATCTTTCTGTAGGTGGGACTTTGTGAACAAGTGGCCTGAGGATTTTCAGGTGTAAAATCTAACTGCAACATTAAATCACTCACTGTGTAACCACTTATTTTTATGATCTTATCTCTGCCTCCACCCTTCGACATACAATGCCAACTTCATTCAACAAACTTTGTAAGCAAAAATAAAGAACATTTACATATTCATAATTAATATGTTCCTTATTTGTATTAACTGTGAGTTTTCTCAACCACGATACCATGCATTAGGTATTCCAAGACTGACAGTTCACAGCTACTAAACCACTGTAATGTTGAGATCCATTTTATGCTTATGTGTGAGGCCAACCAAGCAAACACAAGGATTAGGTGCTGGATTCAGCTCAACAAAAGGGGCCCCAAAGTGATCATTTTCCCTATGTGTTAGGGAAACAGATCCTCCACTGGGGCATGAGCCAATAGGGAAAAGCTGGAATGAGTCTAGAAAGCTGACAAGGAAAGAAAACTTGAAGCTTTCCTCATGGTAATGTATCTGAAGCATATTAATATGGCCACCCAACAACAGGACATAGCAGTGGCTGGTCACTGATACTGTGGAGTATCTTGCCATGCTGAAATGCAGAAGGTTCACTTTACCAGCTGCTGAAAGACAAGAGACATTTTTATTCCTGCAGGCTTTTTGCCTGCTAAGTATATTCTGTTTTATATAAAGGTTATACTTTTATCTGTGGTCTGGCTGCATTTTTAATGCTGCCTTGCTAGCATACTTAATGTGTATTAAAATGTCTTTTATTGTTTTGTTATGACATTTTGATTTCAAATAGTTGTAAGCTGCCCTGAGTGGCGCTTCAGCACTATAAAGGCAGGACAAAAATTTCTACCGAAATGAATTCATATTTGCTATCCATGAATGGCTTTGCTATGCAGCAAAAATCTCTACAGGGAAAAGTTGATTAAAAAGGGTGTACGTATATGCTGCACATGTGGCCTGATTTGCAGACCATCACCTGGTCTTTGAGAAATCTGGTTAATATGAGATAGGAACCCAGAACCCCTCAATATTCTTGCTCCCCCCCCCCAATATCTTCCCGCTGGCAACAGGTCCAAATGGGAACAAGTGAATCAGCACTTGTACAGCCATTCCCTAGTCAAGCTCTCTTTGTGTCTGGCCCTTTTAGGCAAATTTTCACACTTCTATCTACAATGGTGTGGTCCTTTAAAAGTTGTAACTGTGGTTCTAAGCTAAGAGCTATCAGGTTTCCAAGGTGCATCTGAAGCTGCACGAGGTTTGAGGAACCATTTGCTGCCAGAGGCCCTCTAGCCCCATATATGCTAGTGCTGGAACACAGGACGCTGCCTTTTATTAGGTTGGATTATTAGTCTGACTAGCTCAGGGCTGTGTACACTAGTCTTTCCCTCTAGATGTTTTGAACTACAACTCCCATCATCCCCGATCAAGGGCCATGCTGGCCGTGACTGATGGGAGCTTTAGTCCAAAAACATGAAACACATCTATTTCAAGGGACCACAGAGTGGTAAATATATGCTGAGAACACACAAAGCTTTGATAGGGCTCTGTTCTGCAAGGAATGCCCCTTGTTCCGAATAGCACCACATTCCCACACAACGTTGTTGGGGTTTTTTTAAGAACAAGACCATGCCTGCTTTCAAAACTGGCCTGGTAACTCAGCGAAGAAGAAGAAAAGGAGCAGCAGGATGCCCCTAGAAGGGCTCTGAATATCACTTTGTGCAAGGTATGAATTGTGCAGTGCCATTTGTTCCAAAAGCCCTTTAATCTTTAGCTTTCAAACTCACAGACTACCCAAACTTCAATTCATCTTCTCGAGGTAAATCAGTCCTAAAGGTTGTTTAATCAAATCAAAACAAAGTTTTAACACCAGTTCCTAACAAAATGTGTGCCAACTTATTAGAACAAAACCAAGTTAAGCTGCACTCCTGAAAGCAAAAGCAAAACTGCTGGGTGGCTATGCTATGCCCAGTTAAAAAAAAGTTCAATATAGGTTAACACTCAGAATATCTCAAGTACTGAGCTTCTGTAATCTTTATAGCAACCCGTTTTAATTCCCATATTACAATGCTAGAGGGTGGGGGTTTTTTTGGGGGGGTGGGGAGGCTGAGAAATGGTGGCTTCTCTGAGGCCACAGAAGTAGTGCTTTATTTTAAAATGACACACCTTGCTTCCAAAACAGCATAAGGCGTGTGTGCCCCATGTGATCAGCTGCAGCTCTCTATAACCTTTTAATGTGTGGAAGACAGGGCACAGGTACAAAAAGAAAACATGCATTTGCTTCAGACATTACAGTTTTAGGCAATACATCATAAAGATCTAATCTGAACCTGGTGAATAAATAGCATGTATGGCAGCCTCACAAAGGCGGCACCTCCGAGGAAAAAGAAATGAGCGTAGAAAAGCACTTAACAATAACATCAGTTCAGAAAACCCACCTGGAATGCCGGACAGTTCTATAGGCAGTGGGAAGTGAGTGCTTGGCTTTTGAATGTGACCGAACCCTGGATTTAGACGAAGAGTGATATTTGGAAGGAGGCGACCTTGACCTTGACCGGGATCTTTTCTTGTGCTTTTTCTTCTTTTTCTCCCGCTCTTCTTCCCTGGGCAGATCTCTGCTTCTGCTTGAAGGCCTTTCAGGTGCCTTTGCTTCCAAGGTTGGCAATGTCCTGATGCCAGTCAACAGGGGACACTGCATGTTACCAACAGTCTGAAATAAAGCCAGGCAGGTTTTAGCATTGTGTCAATATGTACACAGTATTTACATTAGTTTGGAAGTCTAGGTTAAAATCGAAAACCCCCTCTGCAGTCCCTTGTTAATCTTTGGCCAGTTAGTACCCTAAATCTCTTAACTGTAAAAAGGGATCATTAATGACCTATTGTGCCATGGCTGCTCTGAGAATGGAGATGGAGGAAACATTTTGCATATTTAACAGTGATAAACTGAAGAAGTCAGCCCAGGATTTTTCAGTCAATCATGAATGAAGCTGAGTTCCTGTGCTCATCAAATCAGACTCAATTCAACAATTTGGCCCATCACATGCCCTGTAAAGGAACACCAACTCAATGGTGTAATGTTATCTTTCCACAAGGGCTGACATTGATGCCAAAATCCAGCATCGCCTGAGCTCTGTGAGTGTAGCTTTCTCCCAATTGAAGTGCAGAGTGTTTGAGGACCAGGACATTCGCAGGGAAACCAAAATGCTTGTTTACAAAGCTACTGTACTACCAACTGTATGCTTGTGAAACATGGACTACATAAACCCCATCTCCAACACCTTGAAATATTCCATCAACGGCATCTCCAAAAAAATTTCACACATCATTTGGGAAGACACGCAAACTAGTACTGGAAGAAGCAAAGATCACCAGTGTTGAAGCAACTATTCTCCAACATCAATTTCTTCCAAAGCAATTACTCTATTCCAAGCTTAAAAATGGAAAGCATAATGCTGATGGTCAACAAGAGGTTTAAAGATTCTCAAGGCAAATCTTAAAAAATGTAGTATAAAACCAACAATTGGGAAACACTGGCCTGCGAGCGCTCCAATTGGAGAACAGCCTTTACCAAAGATGTCATGGACTTTGAAGACACTCAAATTCAGGACGAAAGCGAGAAATGTTCCAAGAGGAAGGCACGTTTGGCAAACCCTCACCATGATCAACTCCTGCCCAGAAAGCTATGGCCTTATTGTAGAAGGACATGTAGATCCAGAATTGGCCTCCACAGTCACTTACGGACTCACTGTTAAAACTGTGTTCATGGAAGACAATCTTACTCGGCTACGAGTGATTGCCAAAGGTGAAAGTAAAGGAAGGCTTGTCACTAGCAATGAGCCCCATCACATTCAGCTTCCCACTTCTAAATCAAAAGTATCCAGACAAGGAGTAACTACCATATTTTTCGCTCTATAGGACGCACTTTTCCCCCTCCAAAAATTAAGGGGAAATGTATGTGCGTCCTATGGAGCGAATGTAGGCTCCTTGGCTTCAGCGATAGCAACGCGAAGCCTCCGAAGCGCAGAGGGAGCGCTCCAAAGGCTTCGGGTTCCTTTTGCTGAAGCCCGGAGAGCAAGACTCTCCGGGCTTCAGTGAAAGGAACCCGAAGTCCCGCTGTGCCCCAAAGGCTTCAGGTGGCTATCCCTGAAGCCTTTGGAGCGTAGCGGGAACTCGCGCTGTGCTCCAAAGGCTTCGGGTTCCTTTTGCTGAAGCTGGGAGAGCAAGCCTCTCCTGTCTTCAGCAGAGAGGGGGAGCTGCACAGCACCCCTTCAGCGAAGTGGGAGGAGAAATGGAAGGGGCTCCGTTTCTCCTGCCGCTTCACTGAAGGGGCGCTGAGCAGAGAGGGGGAAAATCCCCCCCCCCCTGTTCTCCCCCTCGTATGGTCTGGTGTGTCCTATAGAGTGAAAAATACAGTAAGTAGGAACTGAATATGCTGAATCACTGGATGTCACCTGAGAGTTGGAACCCGGACGTGGGTCACACTTTGACCTAAGATGAGAGGAATAACACCAGTGTTGTATCTACATCTCTAACTACTTCTCCTAACAAAAGTTTTCCATCCTTGTCAGAAGCGTAACTCAGCAGAGGTCCTAACAGGTAACGAACATGTTGCAAAACTTCACACCAGAACACAAAAGTCAGTAGCTGACATCTCTCCACCCTTCCTACATTGTAGGTCAGGGAAGTTTGTTGTAGTGACTTTGTACTGAAATGTGTGACTGGCTAGCTGAAGTTACTTTACAAAAAGAAGCAGAGGAGGTTTGCAATGGCAGATCTGGCATCTACTTTAGATATCTAGTTTCCAAACAAGAGTAGAGAGCAGAATGATTAAAGTGTTCTACTGCCTCCCTGCACATTCAACTTTCAACTGGAAATAAAGTGGGCACGAAGCTTAATCAGCACCTCCTGAAATCACATTTTTTCACCTATCTATTACAGTTTCTTTCAGAATTCTGCTCAATGTATTGTTTCAGGATGCAAGCTGCCTTGGAATTTGTAAACGAGTGTATAATTGTTTTAAAGGAAATAAAATAAACAGTGCAGTCATCTTCCACTCTTTCAAACCCAAGGCCCATCTAGAACATCAACCTATAACATGGGATCCACATTTAATATTTTTACCCCACATACCCATTTTCAACATGTTTTTGAGAGCTAGACAGACTAGAAGGAAAGAACCTTAATAACGTATAAAGTATTGGCAGGCAAGAATGAAAAGTTGTATTTGCTGAATTTTGATCTTTCATTGCTTCTTGACATTTTATGGGAAGAGACTCAAATACATAAAGAAACTGTCACAATTATTATTACTCTGTCCTTTTTTGCATTTGGATGCTACTTTCTTCTCATTTTCTCAATCTTATTCTAACAAGGTCACTTTCTACAAGGGACTGAAGCACAGCAACATTTATCTGCGGCAGTAGTCTGCAAGGCTTGGGAAACTTGGACAATCTTGCTCAGAGCAAGAGCTGACCCAATAAAAAGGAATAATCTGTACTTTATGTGCTGGTTTTGATGAGACACCTCACGTCCAGCAAGACAGCATATAACTTTCTAATTTTCACAAGCATTGCATACATATTCAGCAGTAATTCCTCAGCCACATAAATGGTTTCATCTTCAGAAGCCTATGTGATTTCTCACCTGCCCCCCATGTAAAAAAACACCACCAGGTTTCTCAACCACCCTTCACATTCAAATGGGATAGTAATGTAAAGTTATACTTGTTTCACAGTGCAGCTGACATATTCCTGATGAAAAAGTAAATTACATATAAAGCTTTTCTACAATGATTCAGACCGTCAGTACTGTCTACACTTGATGGTGGGCAGCTCTCCAGAGTTTCATAGAAGGGGCTTTCCCACTTCTACCTGGAGATGCTAATGATAAGCCTCTCCCCCATCCTGTCCACACATATGGACACCTGATAGGCTGCATCAATAGGAGTATAGCATCTAGATCAAGGGAAGTAATAGTGCCACTGTATTCTGCTCTGGTCAGACCTCACCTGGAGTACTGTGTCCAGTTCTGGGCACCACAATTCAAGAAGGACACTGACAAACTGGAACGTGTCCAGAGGAGGGCAACCAAAATGGTCAAAGGCCTGGAAACGATGCCTTATGAGGAACGGCTAAGGGAGCTGGGCATGTTTAGCCTGGAGAAGAGGAGGTTAAGGGGTGATATGATAGCCATGTTCAAATATATAAAAGGATGTCACATAGAGGAGGGAGAAAGGTTGTTTTCTGCTGCTCCAGAGAAGCGGACACGGAGCAATGGATCCAAACTACAAGAAAGAAGATTCCACCTAAACATTAGGAAGAACTTCCTGACAGTAAGAGCTGTTCGACAGTGGAATTTGCTGCCAAGGAGTGTGGTGGAGTCTCCTTCTTTGGAGGTCTTTAAGCAGAGGCTAGACAACCATATGTCAGGAGTGCTCTGATGGTGTTTCCTGCTTGGCAGGGGGTTGGACTCGATGGCCCTTGTGGTCTCTTCCAACTCTATGATTCTATGATTCTATGATGTTCAGCGAATGCAACAAGGTTAAACTTAAGACATAGTACTACCTCAATCAAGTCACTGTTGCCACAATGATCCCCCAACATGAACCTGTGCTGGTACAAATATATAACAATATGTATGAGAGATACCCTAGAAATGGTTTTATCCAACCAACACCCATGTGAAGTTAAACATTCTAACATTCCTCACACTGGATGCACTTCACACTAAACCGTGTTTTACTGCTAGTACACAAACTGGAATGAGTCCAATTAAAAAACCTAGGGTTTGGTCACTCCCCCACCCCCACCCCCGCCATTCCTTCTGCGTGGCTGGGAGCAGCAATTCACTAGCATTTAGTCTCACTTTCCTCCGAAATTTTTCGTGAACCAAATCCAGGGCATATCACAAATTCTGGTTGGTTCAATAAGCCTGCTGATTAGAGACTGGCAAGAGTCTGGATTAAAACCATGGTCTCTGTTCATAGGCAGCCAGCCAATATTAACTGAAATGAAAGACTAGCCCAAGTTCTTATGCACACAGTGTAGGAGGAGGGAAAAGGAGCATGTGAGCCCAAGGCTTCAGTCTGCCTCATTCCAGTTTGTGCATGCAAGTGATGTAGTGCTATGCGCAAACTGGACCATTAAGGAACACCCAAACCTGGCTTGTCACCGAACATCAACTCAGAGACCTGCAGACAATAACAGATCCCTGCCAAGTACACCTGCATAGCAACATGCATTTGTTGCATTCTCCCCTATACTTTTCATTTGTAAACTTAAAATAAAGAAGTGATAAAGTAATAAAATAAAGAAGTGTCCCTAAACTTCAGTCAATTTAATATAGCATAATGTACCAGGAAATTTGCAAAATGCCATTTTGTGCCTCTACAAAGAAAGAAAGAAAGAAAGAAAGAAAGAAAGAAAGAAAGAAAGAAAGAAAAAGAAATCTAGCACCACAGGCCTTCCTCCTCCCCCAACAGCCACCTTCCATATGAAATGTTCCATTAAGATCTCATCTGCTATTTTAAGCTGGATAAATTCTATGCATCTGCTAGAAACCAGGACTGGGGAACATGTGGCCCCTTTAATTATTGTTGGGGCTCCAGCAACCCCAGCCAGCCTGGACAACTGTCAGGGATGATGGGAGTTGCAGTCCAACATCAACTGGAGGGTCACTGGTTCCCAACTTTGCCTATCTTATCCTTGCATA